TATTGGCAAGTTAATTTTTTGGAACACCCAGGAATTATCTTCAAGATCCAAGAGCAGCTGAAGGTCTGAAATCTTTTGAAACTGAAAAATAAAAACCATATTAATATTTATACATTTCCTATTGTCATAAATATTACCTGTACAGATACTAGTAAGACAMACATTGCTTTTTTTTTCATAGTGCAGTTACATGTAATTTGCTCGAATTTAGGTTCAGTCAGTGTAAAAGACAGATGAAATGTATATTAGTTCCAGTTGAAACTTCAAAAAACATCCTAGTGTTATACGGATGATTAACCGTGTATAAAAAACATTAACACTAGAAATCCATATTTAATTCGGAAGCATGCTTTATTCTTGGAAGCGAGGCTACTCAGCGATCACGTAATCAAATCCGCCATTGTGGCTGGCTAGCGCAACAATTTTATGTATGTCAAGAATGTGAACGAAGATGGCGGAGGCGGGTTTTCCCCTCCTAAGTAACGCAACCCTGCAATCACACTCCTTTTTTWWAAAAAATTCTTTTGGTAGCTTTTATCTGTTGTTTATTGGTTCTAATTTGGCATGAAAAGGTAAAAAAAAAGGCATTTCTTGACCCGTAAACGACAAGCCATTTTCGATGTTGAGATCTCATTACGATCGTAATTCTCGGTGTTATGACCCCAAATCAGCGAGGTTTATTGAAAATCTTGACCCTTTTTAAATCTCTCTTTATAACTTTCTCGAGAAAAATCACATACAACGCTATTCTTGTGTGTTGTCTWACAGCGCAAATTGTTGCGCTAGCCAGCCACAATGGCGGATTTAATCACGTAATCGCTTAGTGCAAGTCGCCTATTCATTAATATTCTGACCAAATGCCACTCAGTTAACTTCAGCCTTCCTGCCTTTGCAGATGGAAATGTCAATTTTTGCTTCTATCATCAAACTGACAATATCTAAATCCAGAAATATAAAGTATCCCAACGTTCAGAGTGCCGGGGTTTCAATTACTAACTAATTGTTGAATAAGTGAAGCTTAAAACTAACCTTTTGTTTGGTAAATTCCTCGAGGTAATCCTCTAAATTTACTTTCGCTAAAAACTCTTTTAGTTCCGAAAAATCCTTTAAAAAAGGGAAARTATGGCATATTCAAATGCTTGATAGCAAATACTCCTCGAGGTACAGATGAATCAATTTTAACCCTTATAACATTCAATGCACAGCGAAAAGTCATTGTTCTTGACTCAATTAAATYGATTATTTTGCACATGAATTTWAAATARGATAGTAACTTACATACCGTTTGAGACGCCATCAAGTTAAAACGAACAAGTTGTTACCAAGGCGGGGTTTTGTGTAAAGAAGGAGACTTCAACTGATGAAAAAACTTATAAAACGTAGCGTTAATACGTAATTGTTAATATTTAAGAAAAGTTGCAATGAAATTACAATTGCATTATCACTAAAAAAAATGCCCTAMATCTTATACTCAATCACCAAACTCGACTAGTCAGCACTTGAACACCTTAGCAAGGTATTTGGATGGTTTTTTTCACCCCAGAAATTATTTAAGTATATTAAAAAAATAAAAAAATGACAGAGAAAACACTCGTACTTACCGGAAAKGAAAAATTTTCAAAGTTTTGGCACCCAAAGCTACGCGCACACGCGTCTCATGCGGTTTTGGCGCGAAAACTTCATTGCGTGACTTTTCGTGATCTGGTCGTTTA